TCCTTTCACTCCTCCCTTTGTAGAATAACTGTAATTTCATTTTCAGTTCAAAATATTGGAGTAGGACTGAAGTAAGGATGTGGGATTAAGCACTAGATGGATTTATATAGTGAGGAGGAGAAAGATACAGTAAATAGAGAACTGGCTATTGATGAGATAGTTTGGAGCATACAGTACAAAGGTTGGAGAATTCAAATTGGAAGGTTGTAATGGGATTGTGAGAGATGTGTAGCTGAGCTTGAAGAGTTAAGATTTGCCTTAGTGTATGGGAAGAGCAGCTTGAATGGATTTATTTATTTTTTTTGTGGACTTTGATCTGGGAAATGGAAAGAAGTCCCCAGGAAATTTGTTCTGCCATCATTTTCTGTGGCTGTAGTAGCACCAGAAAGTGAGGTTAGAGCAAATTATATTTGAGAATTTGAAATCTGTATTTCAGTAGAGTTCAATCCTCTTTCTTGTTGCCTGTAAATAGTATGCAAGACTTTGTATATGGTGGTTAATACATTTTTAAATACACTTCTGTTAATATATTTAAAGGTCTTAGAAAGAACAGTAATTTTCAACCAGTATCATAAAGAATTTTATTTAATCCTGTAATGTCTAATATTGTCATTTTCATATGTAAAGTGTTCAATGTTTTATTCATTCCTCAAATTTTTGCCTTAGTTTTCTTCAATCTGTCACCACTTAGATAATTTATGAATGCTTAAGACCTGTCTTGCTCTGTTTTCCTCTATAAATGAAAACAGTATGTTGTTTGGTAGCATGAGTGTCTTATGAAGTCTTTGCAATAGATATCATTTTTAGATATGGAATCATCAACAAGATAGTTTTCTGATAACATCTTCTCTGAAATAAGATAATATTAGCTGTCCTGGACCTGTTCTGTGGCATTATTAGTTTGTTTGGGTTTTGAGGTTTCATTGTTTTGTTTTTTGTTTTTTTTTAATTAGTAATCCATTTAATAGAACAAACTTGCTGAAAAGCAGTATTCCAAAACTATTCAGAACTGGAATTATCCATTTACTAGGATGAGGAATGTCACCTTTTTAAAGAATATTTCTACTGTCTTTCATTGACATTGTCAGAGCATACAGTTTATTCTTAATGATGTTGTGAATGATCTGTTAATGCTGTTTTAATGAAACCTGAAAATATGCAATTTGAGTGTTTACTTCCTCATGTTAGAGGCACTGGGGACAGTAGTATAGAAACTTATTGAAAAGCAAAATATCTGTTTCTATGGGGGACTTAGCATTAGTTCTCAGGGGAGTCTATGCTTTCCCAGTGATCCATGCTGACAAATTTTTGAAAGGAAAGTAAAATGGAAGAATGAAGTATTTGGCTTTGTTTCTTCAGGAGTGTAACGAGACCTCATGATAAAAAACATTGCTATGATGTTGGCAGAACTGCAGAGTCTTCAGTAAGGCTTTTGTTTGGGTTTAATAATATGTCTAGAGTGGTGCTAATTCTAGATGTAACAGTTTGTGTGCTATTGCCAGAGTCACTTCACTAGCCTGGTAAAGAAAGGCGCATGGGACAGATTATAAACTCCTCAGTGCAGAAACAGTCTTACCTTTTTACAGAAGCCCACTATGACTTTGCCTTCTGGCATTTCCAGAATGTAACAATGATGACAGAAAAATGGACAAATTGGAGATTGGGTATTTTGTTTCAGGACACAGACAACTAGATCCAGTCTAAAAATAGCGGTATTCCACTAAATCTTTCCATGGGTACTTAATACAGGAATTTAAACTTTGAAGGTACAAATTCCCATATGCCTTGGAGACATACAATTTTCTGTTTTGCACACTGGTGGACAGAAGCACAGGACATCAGTGTATGCATTGTTCTGAGAATTGGTGAAAGGATTAAGATAGTGATGAAAAATGTTACACCTTTCTTGCCTATCCCAAGGTCCAATAAAGCTGCATGTGCATTTTCAAGTGTAGAACTTCAATGATCTTGTTATAAGCATTATTTCCCCAAACCCTTTGAGATATAACTTTGAGGAAGGAAGAGCAGAGCTCTTCTGTGAAAGATGAGAATATTTAAACAACCCAGCCTTCTGTAAGAGGAAGAGCATGGTATTTTGTAGTAATGTTTTGGGATGTCTGAATTATCTTGATTTTAATATCTTCATTACAGTTTAATAAAAAAACAGTTTAAGGAATGATGAAATGGAGGAAAACAAGAGAGAATCAAATCCCCACTGAAAAAAAAGCCTGATTTAATTAGATTACTGTAGCCTTTAATTCATCTCCATGTTTCTCATTATTTACATGTTGTAAATAATCTGTGATGCTCTAAGGGTTTGAGATTTTCTAAAGCTGCCATAAAACAGCTCTGTTGCTGCATCTTCTAGGGCTTTTAATATCATCATCAACTGAACACTAAAAAAAATCTGTCAATAGTATTACCATGATTTACTGTAAAGTTACCTAGATAGCAAAATTTACTAACTAAATGTAACTAAGGGTTGTGAGCAAAATCTTTGCCAAATTTTCTGTATGTGTAGTTTTAGTACAGTTATGACATGCATTGCTCCATGACTGTTGGATGGTAGATGATAGCAGTTAACCTGGTATTATTAAAATGT